ACCCTTCACACGTTTCGTCGCCCCATAGGAACCACCGAAGGCTCAAATGCCAGCGCTTGTCGGCCACCGCACCCATGTTGGCACACCCTTCACACGTTTCGTGGCCCCAAAGGGGGCTCCACCGAATGCGGTGCATACAACGACGGTGCCCACAACTGCATATGGTGGTGTCTTTCGCCAGGCTGATAACTTTTACCCCGTTATTTCCCCAGTATTTCTGAGATTGTTGTTGATTTGTTTTTTTATGCTATTTCGTGAGTGGACGAATGCGATGCAGTAGTCCGAAGAGCTCAACCTACGTACGGCCCCTCATTCGGCGGAGCCGTTGCGCTGCAGGTGGTCACGCACCCGTGACCGCTAAAACCTCACGAACGAGCTGAAGCTCCGCCCACCCAGCAAGTCTCGCGGCAGCCAGCGCGCGCCGGCTCTGGTGCGCGCGCTTGCCAAATACACTAAAATTACAGACTGCTGCTTCCGTTTAAATTCGAAACATGTTCGCCGCTAGGCTGGTCAGACAGTGAGCTGCAGGGGCTTCAAACCTACACCCAGAACTTGAGCGCCTCTTTGCGTTCCAAGGGAGTTGCACTTACAGAATGCAAGAGCTGCCCTTTCAATCTTATATATTGTGCATGAATTCGTTGCTGGCGGAGCTGGGTTTAATTCCGTGCCCGTCCTCATCCCGTAATCCTGATATGTTGTCTCGATGCAGCCAGTCTCTCCCCGTCCGTTCTCCGTTGCTGCTCTTCTCATGCTGCTTCCTCGTCCTCGGTTTCTTGCCCCCCTCGGTCAGTCTCCCGTACCCCTGAAGTCCTGGCGTTGTTTTTCTCCGCTGCATCTCGCTTGCCATCCACTCTCTTCCTTATTTTTTCGCCTTCCTCCAGTGACGTCTGCGCTCTTGGCAGCGTATCCTGTGACGTCCCTGGATTGCCCGGCGGTCTTCAGCCTCACGTCGGGGGGCTAGTTGTGCGTCGGCAGTGTGGGTGGAAGAAGGCTTTGAAGGTTGAGAGAAGCGGCAGTTGTGGAACAGCTGGCAAAGCAGGAGGAGCGAGTGAGTCGCCATGGGAGTAACCATACACACATAGAGACATATAGACGCACATACCACGCACACGCGTTGCTGATTATGTGTGCGGTTCCTGTGGCCATAGGTGGGCAAGTGACGTGGCCTATCACCAGTTGGGATGTCGATGCGAATGTCGAAGCAAATAGAAGGTCGGATAGCATGCTTCCGTGGCAACACGCGGCAGCGAGCGTCTGCGTGCGGCCTGGTCATCTGTTTTTTTGGCAGCGCGCAGGTAGATGTTACCGCTTGGCTGGTCTGGGGCGTTTGCATTGACCTCGCACGCCTCAGGGTTTCTGTATAGACGCGGCAGGCCCACTGGCCATTGCCCACATTCTCCGGCTGTGCTCTGCCTTGCTCGGCGTTGATTGTTTGGTCGAAGATGGGCGGCCTTTCCGAAGAGATCCTGTATAGACGCGGCAGCCCATTGCCGGCTGTGCTCTGCCTTGCTCGGCGTTGATGGCTTGGTCGAATAGGGGCGGCGGTCCGAAGAGATCCCCAGGTGTCCCAGGAGTCTCCCGGGGCGTGGGTCTCCAAAGAATCTGCCAGGGCTTGAGCTCACCGGTGTTTAGCACAGCCAGTACGAGGACGGAACGAGGGAAAGCAAAAACGGCACGACCATGGCAATCCATGTTACATCATGTCGAGATCGAGCCCTGGAATTCGCAGAGGCCTCCCCCAAAAAGCGACTGCGCAGTGGGACCCCAAACTTGTGCGGCTCTCCCTGGAGGAGCCAGGCCCCGCCCGAGCAGCTGCCGAGGCCTCACGCAGGCCTCACTCCAGGCCCCTCCCCCTTGGCTCACAGAGAGCAAGAGGGCCCCAGGACACGGGCCCCTTGGCCTTTCGTCCGCACGGGCTCCAGACAGAAGGCCCGCCAGACACGCTGGAGTTATAGGGACGCATCCTGAGCCCATCGCATCATATCAGCATTCTTGTCCTGGACCGGGGCCTGTGCGAATCGGTCGCAGGCTCGCCTGCAGCTCAGTGAGTGCCAATTCCGACTAGTCGTAAGAGTGACCCTTCGCCGGAGTGACCTCCGGTGCGCGCCCACTGGGGTCCCCCGATCGCTGAGCGCGAGGCGGCGGCAGCGGCCTGCGCGCCTGGGGCTGGCCACCCGCGGCCCCCGTCAGGCCGCTCACCTGAGGTCACTCTTGCCGAGGCTCACTCTTGCAGTCCACCCGCACCCAGATGGTCTGGTACCGGAAATTTTCGGTAGCGATTTCGATGCACCCCGAATTTCGGTAGCGACCGGATTTGAGGGCGCTGAAATAGCGGATTTCAGAACGCTCTGATACCGGTATTGGGCGCTACATTTCGGTATTTCGGTAGCGACCGATCTCTGCGGAGCGCTACCGGAAATTTTCGGTAGCGGACCATCAGGGCATAGTAAGGATGAGCAGCTCTCCGGGGTTGACTGCCCTTGCATCCTTCCCCTTCGGCCCATCCTTGGCCGCTTTCGCTGGCCGCGCCCCGCCCGCAAAGCGTCGATGTGGCCTTCCATCGTGCCTCCTTATTCCCAGGCCCCCGACGTCATGATTTTTGCACAACGTCGACCCTCAGAAGTGTCGACCCACTCCCGGGGACCAGTTCTTCATCCTGGGTCGTTCGGACGGCCCCGGGGCCCGGCAGGGGCCCCTTGGCCCCGGAGGCCGGCGATGGCGAGAGACTTCCCGTCGTGATTTTTGTCATGCCCCGAGGGGGGCCTGGGTCGTGCGTCCTTGTTCTGCGGTCGGAGTTTGATAGACCTCCTACCCTGATGCGTCGAGTAAGGCATTGGCCGTTTCGGTTCGCGAGAGGTCGTCGCGGCCGTCATTTCTGCGGGTCCAGGTCCGTCGGTTTCGGTCCCAGGCCGTGGCCACTGAGGGGAGGTTTGCCACAGGGACGTCTGTCCACCGCCGATCCGGGCTGGCTGCACGTGCAGCCGGCAGCTGCCCGCAGCCTCGGCCCTCCGCGCCGGCAGGGCGCGACCCCGCGACGCCGGGGCGCGCGCTCCGCGGAGGCCTTGCCCCGCCGCTGCACGGCGGGCGGGTTGCGGCCCCCCCCCCCTCCCCTCGGAGGACGGGTAATGTCGGGGGCGGCAAGGAGGGGGGTGATGACCAGGGGGGGGCGGATATCATGGCGTGGGCCATGATACTTCCCCTGATTTCATGGCGCCTCTTCTTGCTTCATTGCGTCCCTGGGCCCCCCCCCCCTTAGGCCGCGCACATGCCGCCGGCCGTGATTTGCGCCCCCCCCCTCTTGGACGCCCCCCCGCTTGGCCGCCCCCGCTAATGGGGGGCGATACGTGGAGGGGGGGGCAGCGAGGGCTGCAGAAAGGAGCCCTCTAAGGCCCCTCCGGGCCCGACAATGGCACCTTTCTCCCCGCCGTCCTTCCGCGCCTCCCCCTCCCCTCTGTTTGGGACGGTGGGGATGCGTACGGAAAGAACGGGCACAAAGACCGACAGCATTTTCTGGACACGTTGACTCGAATTCTCTGGCCATCCCGCCCGCTGCAGGCGTTGTCCACTTGAGACGTAAGGCCGTCTGCCCAACAGCAGCCGCCATCGGTTTTGGACAGAATTTGCTGTTGGACATCCTTCCCGTTTTTTCCGTGCCCATTTCGGGCGTCCAGACCTGTCGTGTCGTCTCGACGTCGTCGTTTTTCTTTCTCCTGCTTTCACGGCCAGGACGCGTCTTGGATGGTGAGAAAAAGTGCCCAGCAGTGCGACCCAGCCGTTGCCGACCGTGCTTCTCGTGCCCGCCCACCCCTAGCGCACATAGTGCATAGTTAACCGCCGCTGCCGCCGTCGGCCGCCGCCCAGAGGTGCCACACTTCTTTAGGGCCCAAAAGGGACGTGTAGGGCCCAAAAGGGAAAACATTTTCTTTAGGGCCCAAAAGGGACGTGTAGGGCCCGAGAAGTGCACTTTGTTTGCCGCCCCCATTTATCGTCCCCTACTTGAGTGACGCCCTATATCGTGGAGTAGCACACGCCGCTTCGGCCGTGGTTTCCTCGGGTCCTTCTCTCCTTTGCCATGCGTGCGTGGATGTAGCGCCCCCCTCCGTCTCTCATCCTCCTTCTCTCCTACGGCCTCCCGCCCCCTCCTCCTCCTCCTCCTCCTCCTCCTCCTCCTCCTCCTCATCCTCATCCTCATCCTCATCCCTCCGTAGCCATTTTGGCTCAAGCCATTTTGGCTCAAGCCATTTTGGCTCAAGCCATTTTGGCTCAAGTGGGGATAGGCCTCGTTGAGTTGAGGCAGCTCCTTTCTCGGAGCGTTCCTGGGGTCAGAGCCAGGCGGTCGTCACCTTTCAGATTTCACCTCCCCTGCTGAGGGGGCCTCACATTTTGTGCTTGCAATCACTTTCACGGCCATGGCACTGGATGCTAATGCTATGCGAGAGCTCTTGCAGGCTGAGTTTAAGCCCGTGCAGGATCAGATCAATATTCTGGCCAGTGGCATATCGAACAACATGTCGCTGATCAAGCAGGTCGACGCAGACACGAGTGCGAGGATGGACGCCTTCAGCAGAGATGTCGCTGAACTCCGTGCGCAGCTTCTTGGCACTCAGACTCGCATGGCTGCCATAGAGACGCGTGCTGGCATCGACACCGCTGAGTCGATCGACCTGATAGATGAAGATGACGCGACGACCGACCCCTATGGCGGCCCACGTCGTGTCCGTCCTGTCTCTCTTCCTGATGCGGAGCTTGCTGCGCGCGTCGAGAAGCTCGAGGGGCGCATTGCGTCCCGACCATCCAATCCGAGCAGTACTTCTCCTGGCAGTGCGAACTCACAGCGAAGTGACCCATGTTCTTCGATCACGCCCTCTTCTGCTCGCTCTGTGACACGCCCTGCTGCCACGGAGGAGGCTCGCAATCGCAAAAAGATATGGATTCGAGGATTTCCGAGGAAACTGTTGGCCTCCTCTTTCCAGAATCACTTCTCGATGATTAAAACGAAGATGGACCGCGAGTACAAGGATAAGTGCAAAGCGCAGGTTCAGAACTTCAAGTTCAGCTATAACATTCAGTTTGAAGACGAGGATGATGCTCAGCTTTTCCACGCCGCCTCCAGAGCGGACCCAGCATTCCTTACCTGGACTGACCCTCGCGAGGGGAAAGTCTACCATCTTCGTGCAGGCTGGGATCAACCATTACCGATTCGTCAACGCTCCTTCGACCTTGGTCAGTGTTGGCAGCTCATTATGGATGAGATGAAGGTGGAGGGCCTCTGGCAGCAGTCCATGCGTCTCGGATCGAACCCATTCGCTGGTGCGCTCCACCTCTCCAATTCCACCACGGAGGATGTTTGGGACCTGGTCAAGATCATGGAGAACGAGGGCGAGCTTGGCACCTTCAACATCACCCCGCAGAAGGACATGCACAACCTTGGGTTCGAGGCGTCCTTCGTCGACGCGCTGGCTGAGAGGGTTGCTGCCATCATTGCCAAGCAGCGCTAGGATGCAGTATCATTGGACACGGCAGCTGGCTCCTCGGCAGCGGCCTGCTGTACTGGTGAGCGACGTGGACGTCCACGTGCGGGTGCTCGTGCAGTGAAAGCGCGCCTCTGTGTGCCTCCCCCTTCCCCTTCCTTGCCCTCGTCCTCCTCCTCCCCCTCCTCCTCCTCTTCCAGCTCGTCATGTGAGGAGCCGCCTTTTGTGCTGCTTGGCTTGCACACCAAGATTTTGAATTCGTGGAGAGTGCCTTTTTTCTCTGACTGAGTCGTTTGGGGTGGTTTCCTGGAATTCGCAAGCGTTGCTAGGTTCGGCTCGTGCCAATCATCAGCGCTAGTGCCGCAAGTACGTATGTTTTCGAAACCTCGTCGAGAATATATGATCGTATATACGCAGGAGACACATGGTACGCATGATGATCTGGAGACTCTTCGGCGGGACTTCCCCTCTCATTTTCATATCGGTAGTTTTTGCAGCACCCCGAATGCTGGGGGCGTCGTCGTATCCATTTCGAAAAAGCTCTTTCGCAAGTTCTCGGCCGCTCGAGCGGTCTCCGTCGCCCCTGGGAGGATTCTGGCTCTCCGTCTTGCAGGCCCAGCTGGCCAGCTCGCGCTAGGCAATGTGCACTTAGACCCCGCTTTATCGTCTGGCGGAGTTCATCGTATTTTGCAGCAGCTCAGACGTGTGGTTCCTGCTCCTGGCCAGGCCCTCGCCTGTGTCGGTGGCGACTGGAACTGTCCTGAGCTCGACGAGTTTAGGCAGGCTGTTGACGGCAGCAGCACCATCCCTCCCGACGATAGCATCACCCCCCCCACCCACCCACCCACCCACCCACAGGTTCTCTAGTCTCTTTGGCGAACTCGCTGAGGTACCCCAAGAAGAACCCACGCATCGTACTTCTATTGGTGATGTTGTCTTATCTGCATGCCGTCTTGACCGCATTTATTGGTCAGCGCCGACAGCCGAGATGCTCGACTGGCACGCGCGCTCTAATGTCATAGGGCTCGCTCACGACAGACACGGGTGTTCGGACCATGTTCCTGTTTTCGCCCAGGTTGGCCCTGGGGCCGGCCCCACGTCTCTGCCGAGATGGGTTTCTTCGCGCCCCGACTTTCCTGAGCTGGTCGAACGTGTCTTGAGTGAGTATGAGCTGAGTGGCGACCCTTTCGAGCGCCTTCAGGAATGCCAGGCGGCCATGTTCGCGGCGCGTGACGCTCTGGCCAGCCAGCTCTACCGTCTGGGACCGAGTGACGGTCGTCAAAAGATCGCCGTCTGCCTCAGGTTTATGCGTGCTGCACGTGCTCATAAACGAGCGCATCTACATGTCTGCCTTCATGCTCTTCCATATCTTAGCAACTAATACGACTTCCACAACATGTTCTACATTGATTATGAAGGATTCCATGGACACCTTAGGGCCCTCAACGCTGACATGATATCTGACATGATGATTAATGCATGTACTACTCCTTCTGGTCATATTGATGCTGCAAGGCAAGCTAGGATGCAAGCCCTTCTCCGCTCTTGGTCGGTGAAGATGCGCAAGCTCGCCACTTTTGCGGTTGGAGACCCGCTCGACTCCGCGCCGCCTTCGATTGAGCAGTCTGCAAAGAATTTAGCCGAGCATTGGGGCGAAGTACATCGTGCGCCTCCTCTTCCTCCTTTTGTCGATCCTCACGTTCTTACTGAATTTGGCCTCGGAATTTAACAGATTTCGCCTGGCATCTCTTGGGGGCTTGAAGAGTTCGAAATTCGGTCCGTTATTATGAGTAGGAAGGACTCTGCCACTGGTCCCGATGGTATCCCTTACAGTGGATGGAAAAACAGAGGCCCCATGGTACATCAGTGTCTGCATCAAGCTTATGCTGCCCTTCTCCGTGGTCTCGCCCCCCCCTATTGGCTTCAATCACGGCTTACTCGCTACCCTTCCTAAGGTTGACGTTGCTGACGGTGAGGCTAAATCTATCTTGGAGCCCAAGCAGACCCGCACTCTCACCCTTAGCAACACGGACAACAAGTTGATCTCTACCGCCCTGGCCATCCCTTTCCAAACTCAAGCCCAGTACTCCGTAGTTTCGTGTCAACGGGGGTTTACTGGAGGCCGCAATCTCTTGGACAACGCTGCTGAGTTGGAGTCTTGGGTGGTTGAATGGGCCTGCTATCGTGGCCTCAGGTATCCTGGCATGCTCCTTTTGGATATTGCTGCTGCGTTCCCGCCGGTGCATCACTCCTGGATCTTCAGGGTCTTGGACGGTCTCGGGGTGCCTTCCATGATCGTGAATGCCATCCGCATGCTGCGCAACAACATATATGTGTCCGTCGCTTTTTGTGGCTCCGTATTTCCAGGCTGCCATATTTCCCGTGGAATGAAGCAAGGGTGCCCTCTCTCTTCCTTGATTTTTGTCTTAATAGTTGACCCTGTTGTGCGTGGTCTTCGGCGCCGTCTGGAAGACCACCCTGCTTATCTAGCTTGTGCTGACGATATTGGCATTGCATCTGGTGACCTCTCTCAATCAGTGCCCGTGGTGATAGATTGGATGCAGCATACAAGTCACGCCACAGGCCTCAACCTCAATTCCCGCAAGTGTTGGATCGTCTTTGCCATGGATGTCGACCCGGCCACCGTCATCAATGAGTTTGTCTCTCTTGGTATTCATGTGATGGACTTTCGCGTTGGGAAGTGTGCCATGTATTTGGGTGTTTATCTTGGAGTTGACGGAGCCGATGAATCCTGGAAGGCTCCGTGCATGAAGCTGCTCGAGAGGGTCGCCCACATCCGTTCTCTGAAGATTTCTATGATCCAGAACATTCGCGCATGCAACGTTCTCGCTCAACCCGTGCTATCTCATATCGGTCAATTCTAGTTTGTCAATGATCGTGTTACCACGACTGAACATACTGCCCTCCAGAGGCTGACGGCCACTCCCAGACACGCCATCTCCACTTCACTACTGAAGAATTTGGATCAGCTTGGCTTTGATACGGCGCCTCGTGATATCACGTGTGAGAATCGTGCTGCTCTATTTCGATCTGCGCTGCGTAGCAAGGTCTTCGATGACATCTCTATTCGTTTTCACCAGATTGAGCATTATGATACTGATGTCCTGCTGCTTCCCAGCCTTCCTCATTGGCTTCAGCATTCTGTCACTCACACATGGCTTGTGAACTACAAGAGGCTGGTCGCCATTGCCCCTCATCTTGCTGAAGATGATGTGCACGAAGCACAGCAGAAAGCTTTCAGGCTCTTGAGATCCCAGCGCGAGGTTCCTCCAATTGCTCACCTTCTCGGGCCGCGGATTCGATACTTCTGGCCTGGTGCTCCCTGGGAGATCGCTGATGCTGCTTTCGGGTGCATTCACTGCCTGGTCAGGCGCGCTGGCCCCTTCGCGGCCGTCTCATATTTCAAGACTATCTGTAATGCCTGGCCAACTACACGTAGGTTCCGCCAAGGGACCCAGATTTGTCGTTTTGGTTGCCAGGCCTTATTCGGTGATGCTGTTGATCACTACCTCCACTGTCCTGCTGCTCTGAGTGTCCTGCCTGTAGTTTTGCCGGGTCTGCCTCCTGACTACGCCACACGAACCAGACATGAGCATATGTTTTGTTTTTTTTGGAGGCCCCCAGACCAGTCAGAATCTGCTTTCGACTCTCCTTGTGCATGATATTCTGCTAGCACCGTACACCACTTTGCGCGCGCAGGACAGATACGGACCTGTGTGCATCTCTGCTTTCTTCCGCGCCCGTGCGCGGGTGCTGGCCCGCCGACGCGCTGGCATTCGAGATCTGCTGCAGCGTGCTGGCCCAGCAGGCCCGCCCACCGCTGCCGCCGAGAGAGACTGACGGACTGCTTGCCCTCTTCTCGTTCTCCTCTTGTCCGCCTGCCCTCGTCTCGTCGCTATGCCCTTGCGCTCATCCTCATCCTCATCCTCATCCCCATCCTCATCCTCACCTTCCTCCTCCCCCCACAGCAAGTCGGAATGGTACAGGGTTGAAATGTTGAGACCACGATGGCCTTGCCACACATTCGTGGCTTTGGAAGGCTGAAGTTGTGAGAATCCGATGGCCCCTGCCGCCTGTCGTGTCTTGGGAAAGCTGAAATGGGGAGAATCCGCTGGCCCTGCCACGCGTTCGTGACCTGGGAGGGCTGAGATGGTGAGAATTCTGCCGCACGTGCGTGACCTGGAAAAGCTGTTGTGGTGAGAGTATATTGACCCTTCCACACGTTCGTGACCGGGGGGGAGAGGCGTTGAGAATCCCACGGTCCTCACACATTCGCGACCTGGGAAGGCTGGGGTGGTGAGACTTGTGTGCTTCTTACCAGGAGAAAGGCTGCCGGACCATGGCGCCCCCGCCTGCCCTGCGATGAGAATCCGATGGCTGTGCGCGCGCTCGTGATTGTGAGAATCTCACGGCCCTGCCATTCGTTCGTGACCTGGGAGGTCCGAAACGGCGAAGTGTCCTCTGGCCTTGCCATATGTCCGTGACCTGTGAAAGCTGACGTGGTGAGTATCCCATGGCCCTGCCACGAGTTCGTGACCTGGAAGGGGTTAGATGGTGGGAATCCTCCTGCCCTGCCGCACGATCGTGTCCTGGGAATGCTGGAATGGTGAGAATGGGTGTCTGTGTGTGTGTTTGTGTATGTCCGTACCCCTCCTGGCTCAAGGCGTCTCCCAGGGGGCCTCCTCTTCCTGGGGTCAGGGCTCGCGGCTTGCCGCCTCGGCATGTCTGCTCGCGGCGGCGCAGGGCTGTCTGAGGTCCTTTGCGCTGGCGGCGCCGCGGGCTCTGCCGCGGCCGCCGGCGCGGCCGCCGCTCCCCGCGCGACTGCGCCGGCTCTGGCCGCCGCCTGCACCGCGGCCGCGGCCGCCGCCGCCGTGGAGACCCTGGCGGCGCGTCGACGGCGGCAGCGGCGCGCTGCTGCTGCCCGTGCCGCAGGGCCCGCTGCGGCTTGCGCCGCCTGCGCCACGGGCGCCGCGCGCGCTCCCCGCATCTGCGGTGGCCTCCGCTGCCGCGGCGGCCCCGCCCCGCCGCCCCGCGCGGCTGGCCGCCGCGGGTGGCCGCCGCGCGCGCCGCCTGCGCCGCGGGCGCCAGTGGCGCCGCGGGGGCGGTCGGCTCCTCTTGGGCCGCTGGCCCCGCAGGCGCTGCGGGTGCTGCGGGCGCCGCTGGCGCCGCGAGCGCGGCCTGCGCCGCGGGTGCCGCCGCCGCCGCAGCCGCCGCCAAGTGCGTCGCCGCCTCGGCCGTTGGCGCGCTCGTTGCCGCCGCGGCCGCCGCGACGGGCGCGGCCGTAGCGGCCGCTTCTGGCGCATGGGCTGCTGGCGCCGCGCGGCCCCAAGACCGGGCCACCGGCGCTCTGGCCGCGGCGCGGGACCTCGGCGCCCGCGCGCCGACGCCCCGCGAGGTTGAGGAGAAGCAAGAGAAGTTGGCGGTCAACATCTCCAACAGTCGTTTGGCCATGGTGGCCAAACGGCACGGCGGAACTACGAATATTGGCAGCAGACGGGTAGAGTGTCTTTGCGCGCGCGTGCGAGCGTTTGAGTGTTGCATGTGCCTGGCGTGTATTTGAGCGGCGGGGCATGCGTGCTGGTGCATGCAGGGTCTCGGGTCTCGTGTCTGGGTTGCTCCATGCAGCGTTTCGGATCCTCGGAAACAAATGCCACGTCCAGCCTTAGCTATAGCGTCGGGGGGCGCGCCCGTAGTTCTCACCGGCCTGCGCCCTGCTCTTGGGGCCGCGGTGCCGGGCGCGGTCGCCGACCGCGCCGGCGCGTCCCTGGACCGCCGAGTCGGACAGGAGCGGTAGCCGTGTCGGGGTAAGAGACTGGGAGGTACGGCGCCGAAGTAGGCCCGAAGTGCCCAAACCTCCCGGTTGAGCCGAGGGAGGGGCAACGCTCTCCGGGTGCCCGGGGGGGCGTTCGGTCGAGATCGCGCGCAGAATTGCGATGGCGCCTGGGGGCGGCCAACCCACAGATGGGGAATCGTTCGGGTTCCCCCCGGCCCGGACTTCTCTCGTCGCCTCACGGTGACCTAAGCTTGGTGCGGTGGGGGTGCGCTCTGTGGAACACGCCCCAGGTACGACACTTCAGGTGCTCCTCACCGCTATGCGTTGGCCCAGACTACGACGAGTGGGGCGGGCGGGCACGGCTCGCTGCCACGCATGTGCGGGAACGGTTGGACTCCTAGAATCTCCCCCCGCACAACGGGCAGCGCGAGGCTGGATCCCGCCTGATCGCCAGGGACCGGCAGGCGAGGCGAGGCGCCTCGGTCTGGGCCTCTTGATCCACTGGGGAGCGGAAGATCGGGACACATCGGAACCAGAGATTCTGGGAGAGTTCCAGAGAAAATAGAAAGCCGATTTGTGGAGCGCAGCGCGCGCATTCGCAGAAGTTCCCAAAGAGTGTTCCAGGGCTTGAGGAGCCCAAGTCTCACATGGGCGCTCAATTAAACTGTTGAGGGCGGGGAGGAAATCTGGTGTGCACGAGCATTGTGAGCGGGTGCGCGGCTTGCACGGGGGGCGCAGTAGGTTCGCGGTTCAGGGACTTGGGCGCTGGCCAACGCGCTGATGGGGGGCCCGAGAATGCGTCACACATATTTCGCCTGTGGCGCCATGGAGGCCGCATTTGCGGTTGCAGTTTGGGCGGGCGCCCCGCCGCGCGCACCGTGGCGACAGCTCTCTTGGGCGCCCGCCCGCCGCCGTGGACGTAGTGGGCCGGCCAGTCTCTCGGTCGGCGCGCGGCGGGTCGGCAGCCTCGACGCTGGCGGCCTGAAAATGCTTCGAAAGTGTTTCTCCCCGAGCCCGGGGCTATTGTACGTTTTCGGTGGCACGCGCAGCTCGGAGAAAAAATCGCCTTGTCCGTCGGCGGCCAGTTGGCTGTCGTCGCGCAGAAGTACCGGCGGATGGCGCGGTCCACGCTCAGCGCAGAGAGCGTGTCCACGAGCGTGGACTCGTCGATGGGGCAGGAGGAAGGACCTCGCGGTCGGGACCATCGCGGCCCGCGATGCCCACGGCCCCCACCCTGGGCGCGCGAGGACCTGCTGGGCGCCGCCGCAGCGCGATTTCAGATAATCTCGGAACCAGAAATCCGGGCGCGCCAAATTTCGCGGGCCGAAAAACTCCCAGAGAGTTTCGGCCAGCTCCGAGGTTTTGGGTTTATGGGAATGTTTCGCGCAGAGATTTTCAGAGATCCTCAGACAAGTTCGGACGCGAGAATTTGGCGCGCCCTGGTTTCTGGTTCTGTGAATATATGAAAAGCGGTTCCTTAGGTTTTACCGGGTCTCCAGGCGTCCGACTGTCAGCCAGAGACGAGCGACTGGCTGGCGCCGCGCCCGATGCTTCCGGATTTGCGAACTCGGTATTCGATTCCCTGGGGCCTGCCGGCCCCTGGGCCAATCGCGAGGTTGCCGAGGCCCCCAGGCGGTCGCGCGCGTTGTCTCGGAAACCGGAGTTGGGCATCCATGGTGGACGCCCGCGCGTACGCGCTAGGTGTCCGCGAGATTGTTCGGTGGCGGATCTTGCGTGGCGCGAGGGCTTTCCAAAGACTTTCCGGGGTGTTCTCTACGGATAATTCGGCGCGCTTCGGGAACAGGGGCGGCGCGGGGAAGTCGCCTGGCTGCGCGCGGGGCTTTTTTTCCAATGCCTTCTGGGGCATTATCGCGGTGTTGCGTGGCCGAAGAGGTCACTGAGTAACGCGCTGTTTGACATTTTCGTGTTTTTTTCGTTGCGTTGGTTGCGTGATTGTTTTGGCGGCCCGCCTCCTTGGGGCCCCCTTGGGGCCCTGGGGCCTCAAGTTTGTTTTGTTGACGTCGGGCCTTCTGGAGTGAAAGGCGCTTGGCGCTGAAATCCCTCGGGCGTGTGCGTGGCCAAGTACGCGCCGTGGCGTCATCCGCGCTGGGGCGCATTTCTTCCCTCGCGAAGCCGATGGCGCCCAAGGCGTAGCAGGCCCGTTGGGCGGCGCCCCCGGTGATTTGAAAAACCGAGCATGATTTTTATCCTGGTCAAATTTTGCCCCGATCCTGTGGCCCCCCGACCTCCGCGGAGTAGAGCGCCGACTGACAGGCGGGCGGAATGGGCGGGGGGGGGGCGGGCGGGGAGGCGCCGCCAAAACGCCCGCATAGGGCTACTCTGGCCCTGCATAAACGCAGAAGACAGAAGAAAAACAGCTCCGGTGGGGAATTTGCTCGGGCGGTCTGTCCGCTGGGGCGTCGTCGACTTCTGGTCACTCCGCTGCGCCGGGAGGTGATCTTGCACCGCCCCCCAGGGAGTAGGGGTCTTGCACCCTGACGACGTGGGGCCCAGTCCCCTTGCGCCGGGAGACGGTCTTGCACCATCTCTCAGGGAGAGGGCCCCCTTTCCTGGCGGGCGGGGGGCGATAGCGTGGCAGTCCCACGTTCTCGCATTCACGTAGTAGTTCGGGGCTGGGCTGAGGCATGGCCTCTCCTCCTCGCTCTCTCCTTTGCTTGGGGGGTGGGGGGTGGGCCAGGGGGAGGGTGGGGTGGTCCAAGGGCTTTCTGCGTCGGGAGCTGCAGATAACGGAGTGCCCCTGTGGGGGCCCTCGTGAAATAATTGTGGGCTTCTCGAGGCTACATTGGACAAAGTCGCTCGGTTTGGACGGTCGTTGCGCCTCCCGGCGCTTTTTGCAAGGGAGCGTGGTTTTTTGGACGCGAGGACGGAGCAATGTGTTTTAGGAATCGTTGTCTCGGGGGCGCGAGTTCGGCGTAGTTCACTAGATATCAAGATCTCGGCACGAACAATGCATACTTTTCAAAGGATCGTGGCTTCGGGGGTGCGAATATCGTATAACTTGCAAGGAATCGTGGATTCGGGGACGCGAGCCTTATGTAATTTACCACGGGTCGTGGCCTCGGAGACGCGGACATTGTGCAATTTACGATGGGCCGTGGCCTCGGCGACGCGAGCCTGGTTTAATCTACAAGGGATCGCCGCCTCGGAATCTCAAATGTTGAATCACTAGTATTGGGCAGTTTACGATGGGTCGCGGCCTCGGGGACACGCATATTGTCTAATGTGCTAGGGATCGCCGCGTCGAAGATCCAAATATTGAATCGCTAGCGAGGGGTCGTGACTTCGGGGGCTCGAATGTTGTGTAATTTTGTAGGGGTCGTGGCCTAGGGGACGCGATCATGGCGTAATTTCCCAAAGGATCGTGGCCTCGTGGACGCGAATACGTATGATGGACCAGACACGTTGGCCTCGGGGGCGCGAGTAGAAGGTAATGTACTAGGGACTGCCGCCTTGGAGTCGCGAGCGTTGCATTTTTTACGAGGGATCGCGGCTTCGGAGGCGCGAGCATGATGTAATTCACCAAGGGCCGTAGCCTCGGGGAGGCGGGTTTGGCATACTTTGCAAATCATCTTGGCCCCAGAGACGCGAACATTGTGTAATGTACGAGGGGCCTCGGGGAGGCGAACATTGTGTAATGTATGAGGGATCGTGGCCTCGGAGACGCGACTACTGTATATGTCGAGTTATCGTGTCTTCGGAAACGCGTCTATGATGTAAGTTTCGAAGGATCGTTGCCTCGGGGACGCGAGCAGCGTGCAATGTACGAGTGATCGTGGCTTCGGGGACGTGACTTGTGTGTACTGTATGAGGGATCGTGGCCTCGGGGACGCGAGCATTGGTTAATGTACGATGAAGAATGTGGCCTCGGGAACGTAACTGTTTAATCATATACGAAGGAGCGTGGTCTCGGGGACGCGACCACGGTGTGATTTACGAGTGATCGCGGCCTCGGGTACGCGAATACAGTGGGATCGTTGTTTCGGGGACCCGGCTGCGGCCCCGCTGGAATTTCAGCAACGCGATGTGGGCGTGGTAACAGCTGGTTTGGGCCACCCCCCTCGCGCGGACTCCAAGAACTTCCAGCTGGAAGTTCAACATAATAATATAACGTGAGAGACTTGAAACTGGAACTGGAGCAGGGAGCAGCAAGCCTCATCTCCGAGAACTGATGGCCCCACAAGTGGCCAGCGGACTTTTCCATGTGTGTCCTTGATGCGTTGTCTTTGTGTTTGCTCTGTGCCTATGTTGCAGATGGCTGGGTTGCCTGTCCGTTACGCATGTTCTCTGTTTGGTCGTCCTATCGTCATTGGGGCCTCGGGGAGCTTTGCCGCCCGGCGGCCGCTGGATGCAGGGCGGCCGAGGCAGGCTATCCAGGGATCCTCTGGGCTATTGCGGCCTTAGCGGCCGCGGCATGCAAGGCGGACGAGGCGGGGATACCCGGGGATCGCACGGGTGATGGGGGCCGGGCGGCCGCGTCCACTGTGCAGGGCGGGCGAGGCGGGTCGGGGACCTGTCCTTCAGATCTATAGCAGCCCCAGCATGTCGGGCAGGGAGCAGACGACCAGGCGGCTCCGCCCGCGTGCAGACTGGAGATGGAAACAGCGTCCGAGCAGGCGCCCACCGTCCGCCTGTCCAGCGGGGAGGCGCTGCCGTTGGTGGGCCTCGGCGTCGGGAACCTGGCGCACGACCTGATCGAGGAGGCGGTCGTCGCGGCGGTCGACAGGCACGGGGTCCGACTCGTCGACACCGCCGCGGCCTCCAAGAACGAGCACATCGTAGCCGCTGCCCTGAGGCGGGCGGACAGAGGGAGCGAGGTGACGGTGCTCACCAAGGTTCGGACGGGGCCAGGACGAGGACAAATCCGTTCCAGAGCGTTCCGGGACCCTCTGGAACGGTCTCAGAAGGCCGCGGCGCCCGGGACATCCTCCAGAGCCGCCGGATCTCAGAGGTTGTCGATTCATCCTCACCCGATGTTGTCCTCGTCCTGGCTGCGTCTGGAAGGTGTGGTACACCCACCTGGGATTCGAGCGCACCCTCTTCTCGGTCAGGGAGTCCCTGGAGCGGCTGGGCCTGGGCGGCGGCGGCGCACGCAGGCCCGCGGTCCTGCTGCACTGGCCGAGGTGCCGCAGCGACGTGTCCTGGATGAGGTGCTGGGATCGGCGGCGAGCCTGGTGCTCGGCATCGCTCGGACGTGTTTTTTTTTCGGCGAGGGCCATCGAGGAGCCTTGTGTGGGTCACCTTGCGAAGAAATGCACCCACGACATCGAAAGATGCACGGGGAAGTCCACGTCCGAGCGATGGCAAGGGTGGGGACGTGAGAAGGGCCGGGCCTGCTCGGAAGACTCGGAAGTCACCTGGCCTCCTGGGAAGTTTTCTGAGCCGTCCCCGAAGGCACAGGAACCCCCTCGGGAAGTCCGAGGGCTTCTGAGAAGTCCCGCCGACTTCTGAGAAGGCTTTATTTTTCTCACTTCTCCCCCTCGCTCGCCGCCGAGAGGTGCGAGGAGGAGGAGGCTCGGAGGGCGCCGGGCGTACGACTGCGCCGCTCCTGGCCAAGACCCATCCTGGTCCCAGGGTCGGTGCGCGCGCCTTGCCGGCCGAGTCTGGGGGTCTCCTCCTCCTCCTCCTCCTCCTCCTCCTCCTCCTCCTCCTACTCCGTGGCCAACGGGAGACTACCGCTGGTACCGTCGTTTCGACCCCTCCGGCACGCGCGATAGGAAAGTCATTAGAGCCATGTCTCTCATGAGTCTTTCCTTCTTAGGCGGCAAGGAGAGGGTGCCAGAGCACTAGCTTTCAGAGTACCATCAGGGAGAAGCAGGGAAACGCATAGGGAAGCGCCCAACGCAAACTCAACTCCTCTGTAGCCAGTTTGGCCCAAGAGCCCATGTCAGGAGTGGGGGCCGCGCACGCGCTCCCGGGTCTCTTGCATGTCGATGGTGGCGCCTCTTGCCCTGGCGGATGGGGTGGAGTCTATGCGTTGGTATGGTGCACGTGCGCAGCGCCCGCGATCGAGAAGTTCGCCGTCTCCGAGCGGTGGAACGCCACTTCATTCGTCCTCGTGCCCTTCAACATTTCGTTGACTCAGTGCACGTTCTATGGTCCGCGTGCAGCTCCATGCAGATCTTCAACGACGTTATGGGTTTCGTTCCCACCATCTGCGGGCCGCGGTTACAGCGGCTGGGACGACGCTCACATCCGAGGGGCGAAAGAGGATGCTGCAATCGAATTCCTTCTCAGGGCGCGCCAAACATAGAGTGCCCCTTCTTGCTGATAACGCTACTGAGCCGCCCCCCCGAAAGGCGCTTTGCCTGGACGGGCTCATCTCGATGTTTCCCTCGGCCGACGCAGTCTCTGCATGACCAGCTGTTCCTGAATGACCAGAGTGTCTTCGTGCCTGTGCTGATTCCACCGGAGTCTTTCGGTGCCGCCCCCGCTGCTGGCTTGGTTCCGGTGGCGACTGGAGTTGCTGCCCCGGCCTGCGGCGACCAGCACCTTCCAATCTCGACTGTGGGCGACCCGTATTTGCAGGGCATTGATTTCGAGATCGAGCTCTCGTTGGTCGAAGGGCGAGCTCTCCCACAGCCAGAAAGTGTTCCTCGTCCTGGTGGTACTCATGGTGTTGACCTCTCTGGTCCTCAAGCTGATCATCGTCATCCTCGCGCGACCGCGGCTGCTGGTGGCGTCTCATCTCATCTTGACGGCGGTGGTGGTGCTTCTGGTGGGAATTACGCTTGGAAGCCTTGCAAGGCTTTCGACTTCCATTGCAGAACGGTTCTGCAGGTGGGCCGGAGGACTTCCACGTGCAAGGTTTGCTGGTTCTACCCGCATTGCGCCTTCGGCGACACATGCGGCGCCTTCCACTTGACCGAAGTGTTTGATGAATCAACCGTTGCTGAACACACCTCAGCAATCGGTTTCATGATTTTGCCGAGGCTCCGCCCATGCCCGCGTCACTATGGCATGCTCGTGCCGCTGGCAAATCTGCAGCTGAGGTCTACGCCCCCCTTCTTGCTCAGCATCGAGTGGTTTCCCCTGATCATCCCCTCTGAGCCTCAGGCAGTGCACCATGACGAACATTCCTCAACCACGCGTTCTTTCATTCAAGCTTCGAGCCCTACGACACCCTAGGCGTCTTTGGAAGCAACCGTGCACGAGCATGAAAGTTTTCGTTGTAAAGCCTCAGCTCCTCACGCTGTTGACCCCATTCTCTCGAGGGGAGTGCAGGAGGTTCAGCCTCCGCCTCCCCCACAACCGTCTGCGGATGGTCGTTTTGGGCCTGGCGCGGCGTTGGTGGCGTTCCTCACGTCGCAGCTGGCATCGCCTCCTCGCTTCCTATGTCTGCTGTGTTTGCATCCTCTTCGTCGGGTATGGTAGCCGTGGACTCTGATCGGCTACCCCTGGCCAGCCAACTGATTATCAAAAATTGCCAGTTCCGCCTAGCTGTGGGCGCGCCAGTTGGGGATTGGATGCCCCTGGCTGGTGACCAGCTCCCCGGTGACCAGCGTAGTGGTGACACGCTCCCTGGGCACAACCGTTTTCAAGGGCAACGGTAGGGGGGGATGGGTATAGGGGGGCACGCATCTACCCCGAATCGCCCATTGATCGCCCATAGGGGACCGATAAACACAACCTGCCCAGGAACGTGCGGATTTACCATCGGGTGCCTATCGCCGATCTATCGGCGATGTATCGCCGATTCTTGGTCGATGTGTCCCCCCTATGCGAGTCCCCGCTATCGTTGCCCCTCACGTTTTGATGACCAGCATAGTGGTGCTCACCTCCATCGAGTCCAGCTCCCTGGCGCGCAGCATCGTGGAGACCAGCCCCCTGGATACAAGCGCTATGGAGACCAGCAACCTGGAGCCCAGCACCGTGGAGTTCAGCTCCGTGGAAACTTGCAACGTGGAGACCACCACCCTGGACATCGGCATCTTGAGATCCGGCATCCTGGAGCCTTCGTCTTTGGTGGCCAGCTCCCTGGTTGGGGACCAGCTCCCTAGAGACCAGCTTCATGGAGACCTGCATCCTAGAACCCCTCGCCGCGGAGGTCAGCGTCAGGAGTTTTGCATCGCGGGGCCAGCCCCCATGACCATCACACTCGACTGGACGATACCTGGTGCGCTATTTCTCCGACGTGGCGACCGTCAAATCCGCCGTTGCTCACAGTCGCTCGCTGCCTTGGCGGGTGTCCCGAGTCTGCGCATGACGGGGATACCACAACAGGGTGAGTATGACGATGCGCATAAGCGGATGGGCCATGCTATCGATGAAGCTGCGATTCTGCAACGGACGCTCGAGGAGGTGAACAAGGAATGGTATCTTCGCTGCGAAGGTTTCAGCAGCTACGGGGTGCTCCGCGGCGGCGGTGCGCGGCCGACGGCGATGCCGTCGTCGACGCGCTGTCGGTGGCCAGCGAGGTCGGCTCTCACGACGCTCCCTATTCTTCATCCGAGCTTCACGGATTTCTTCGCCACGGTGTTGAGGACAGGCCCCGCTGCGGCCGCGGGCAGCGCCGACGGTGCGCCCTAGGCGGGCGGATTGGGGACCCCCCTCGAGGTTAGGGCTCCTCCTTCGGCCGTTTTGGCTTACGTAAGGCGGTTTGGGTTCAAGCGCACGCTGGTTTGCCGCGTTCGCAGCCATCCGCCGTTCGTTCGCAGCCATGGAGCGGCCCCGCCTTGCGCCGCCTTCCCTGGAAGCGAGTGTCCCTGAGCGCCATTGCTGCACACCCGAAACCCGCCAGCAAACAAGGAGGAAGAGAGCAGGCACATGAGCTATCAGAAATGCGTGGGTATGGACCTCCTGTCCCAAAGCTGAGATTGGCATGGAACAGCCGCCAAACGCGGGCAGCCTTCCTACACTAGCAAGTATCGACGTGAAGCTGGATAGGATGATCTCAAGGTTGGGATTGTCTACTCCTGTGTCTGCTGAGTAAGTGGCTGAGATCTTTCATTGAGTATTGCGTTCGAACCAGCCCTTCTTCTGTTCGACGCTCACATTCACACTATTGACGATCATTGCCATGTGCATTGTCTCTTGTCTTCTCTTTGTTTGCAGCTGTGTGTTTCTCTGTTCCTGCCTCTCCCTCCCCGCTCCCTCCTGCTCCCGTCCCGGCACTCCTCGTTGTCCACTCGTGCCGGACCCAGCGCTGAAAGTGAGTTCGATCTTTTTCCTCCCAGATTGCTGCTAGCCTCGTCTTCCATTGTTTCCGTCGCGACCCGCGAGATGAAGGCCGAAGCTCAAAAGCTCCTCGTCGTCCTCCTCCTGCTCCTCCTCCTCGTCCTCCTCGTCCCCCTCCTCGTCCTCCTCCGCCTCCTGCTTCTCCTCCTCCTCCTCCTCCTCCTCCTCCTCCTCCTCCTGCTCCTCCTGCTCCTCTTCCTCCTCCCCCTCCTCCTGCTCCTTGCCCTCCTCCTCCTGCTCCTCCTGCTCCTCTTCCTCCTCCTCCTCCTCGTACGCACCGATCCTGGGCCCAGGATCGGCCTGGCCACGACCAGTGCCGGCGTACGGCCGGCGCCCTCCGGCAGGCCGAGCTCCCCGAGGAGGTGCGGCGGCTCGGCCCGGCGCCGCACCTGGACGCCGACGCCTGGCAGGGCAGCTGGCGGGCGCTCGGAGGGGGAAAGGAGCGGCCGCCGTCCCAGCGCATGGGCAGAGGATGGCGCGGGGGAGGAGGAGGAGGAGGAGGCGGCGGAGGAGGAGGAGAGGGCCCATGCCCTGTCAGAGGAGAGGAGGAGAGCAAGAAAAAGGTGGAGGAAGTGGGAGCGAGCTTCCTCCGAACAAGCCCGAGCAAGAGGACGAAAAGGAAGGAGAAGTGGAAGTGGGAAGGAGGAGAACAAGGAAAAAGAGGAGTTCCCTGACTGACGCCCACAAGTCGGTGGGGCCCCACCCGGGAAAAAAGCCCGAGGAGCGCCGGAGCTCGCTGGGGGGCGACGGAACGCCTCCTCGCGCCCCATTTCTGCCCTCGTCGTGGGCTGCCGCCGCCACTGAGACCCGCTGGCTGGGGGGCGAACCTCCCTGGCGGGGCGCCCCCTTTTTCGAGCAGGGAATCGACAACAGACGTCGGAGGTTGATAGACCCCCTAAGCCTGACACGTCGATTAGCAGATTGACAGTTTTCGGTTCGCGAGAGGGCGTCGCGGCCGTTGTTTTTGCGGGTCCAGGAGCGTCGGTTTCGGTCCCAGGCCGTTTTCACTCAAGGGTTGCTTACTAAAGGGAGGTTTGTCCACCGCCGAAACTTGCGGGCGCTCGAAGAGGAAAGAACAGCATAATTTCGCAGGCTCATAGGCTGACACCAACACCCATAATCGGCGGTGTGCCTCCACCGAGGGAAGAAGATCCCGATCTAGATGATGGTGGTAATATTCTGGCTTCGAGGTGGCCGGAACATTACCACCAACACCGAAATATAGGATCCTCTTCCCTCTGTGGAGGTAACCCCCTGTGTTGGTGTCGGTGCCCATCTCCAGGCCTCCAATAAACATCAACTTGCGGAGGTCTGCGCGGATTTCTCGGATCGGCGCTGGGCCCCCCCCGGCGGCGCCGTAGACGCCGCCCCTGGCGCGCTCCTCACGCCAGGGAGGGGGGTCCAGCGCCGATCCAAAAAATCCGCGCGGACCTCCGAATGCTTACGTGTATCATGTTTTTGTTCGAGGCGCTGGAGAAGCTCTACAGGGAGGGCTTGGTCAGTAGCATCGGCGTTTCGAATTTCGACCCGCGGCAGATGGAGGCGCTCGCGGGCATGGCGGAGATCAAGCCGCACATCCTGCAGGGCAGCCTGTGGCACCTGCTCTTCGACCCCGCGCTGATGGAGGTGCTCGAGCGGCACGGGGTGGTCTTCCAGGCTCGCCAGGGCAACATCGAACCAGGGCCCCCCGCAGTCAGGTGGCGGCCAAGGGGTCTGAAGCAGCTGGGACCCCAGAGCATCGGGCAGGAGGGGCGGAGATGAGGCCAAATCCGTTCAAAATCGGTCCCGGGAGCCTTCCTTGGGTCCACCTGGTGCAGTTTTTCAGCCCTTGGCATCGCTCGGACGTGTGCATTTTTCCTTCGGCGAGGACCATCGAGGAGCATCCTTAATCATTTGGCGAAAAACCCACGCACGAAACCGAAAAAAACACAGGGAATGGACGTCCGAGCGATGGCCACAGCCCGGATGCGGCTTTCACAGTCCTGGTGCCCGAGAGCGGCCCTCGACAAAGACAACACACAGCTTCCCGAACCCAGCACCTCGAACCTGCCCGCCCTCCCTGTCGGCCTCTGAGCCAGTGCAGGGCCACCTCAGACCCCCACACGGCTTAGAGCGTGGAGACACCAGAAAGGCAGAACTATGTTCATGCTCTTCCCAGCACTCTTGTGATGGGCTGTCGTTCCGGAGATAGCCTAGCATTGTGGTATCCACTCCTCCTCCTTGTCCTCCTCATCCCTCCTGCCTCCTCTTGCCTCCTTGCTTCCCTTGCTCGTGGCTCGCTCCAACCCGCAGTTGTGTTGAAGAGCGAGCTGCGGGCCACGGGGCGGCGTGGCTCGCCGCGGACGCGGGCCGCGCGCGGGTCGTCCCGAGGGCGCGCCCGCGGGTCGCGGGGCGGGGCGCGTGGCGAGGCAGGTCGCCGGGGGATTCCGAGTCACGGCGAGCGCTGCGTCGCCAGCGGGCGCGGGTCGCGCGGCGGGTCGCCGACGGCGTCGCGGATGCGTCGCCAGCAGGTCGCGGGACGACGATGACGACGACTACGACGCGAAAACAACAGAAAACAACGAGCACCCATTTTTCGCATTTCGCATTTCGCATCTCGACAGCGTCTGGGGTGCGCGCGCCGGCGCCCGGCCGCTGGCGCCAGCGCCCGGCCCCCAGTCGCTGCGACTCAGAACTGCCCGGCGAATGCAGATCTGGGCCCGGCAGCCGACGACGGATAGGCGGTGGTTATTCTTGCTTGTTTTCCCCCTGCCTTTTTCCGCTCCCCTTCTTGCTCCCGCCTCCCGCGCGATAGAAATCCGGGCATATTTTCTATCAGCTGCGTCGCCGTACGGGTTGTATGGTTCGTTGTTGTATTGTGCACTGTCCAGACTTTTGTTGTCGTTGCGTGTTGCCTTTCTATATGAGTGGTCGGATGAACCGTGGGGATGCACACACAGCGCCATGGTCTGTCTTCCCCGCTTCGCTTTTGTCCTCCTCGCCTCGCTTCGTCGTCCTCCCCCTCCGCCTGCTCCCCCCCTTCCCCCCACGCCGCGCAGGGTGCTGCAAATGTCACGGGGACGGTGCGGCGCAGCCGGCGTTGAAACTGTCAAAGCAGTGTTGCGCCCAGTCCGGCGTTAAAATTGTTAAAGCTGTTTTGGCTGAAAGGATCGCGCGCATGGAGTGCGCGTGCCGTGCGATGCCATAACACAAAAAAACGAAGAAAGACGAGGCAAAAGTCTGCAGTCCAGGCCGCGGATAAACCTTCTGCCACACGGTTAGGAAGAGTGCGCGCGCGATCGAGGCCGATCCGCCCTCCCTTGCCCCGACCGAGCACCGGGCCCAATCCGTACCCACGCCGGCGGGTCACACCCAGGATTTGGCCGGCGATGTGGAACGCATCGGTCCGGTAAGCGTTTTAGAATTGCTCCACACAGTTTGCACAACATAGATTATCCACATAAGTTTCTGAGTTTCACGACGTAGATTGCTAGAAGCACGTTGTTTGATGTCCACTCTGGCCAACATTTCTTGTTTCCAGGGGGGGCAGGCGTCCACGCCCATACGGTGGGGGCGTTCGCTAAGGACTGTGCCCAGGAGGCTTCATGCCCTGAAGGGGATTCCTGATCTGACGAGCGCAGCGGTGGTCTCCACGGCCAGTACATGGTTGGAGTTCCACGGGCTTCAGACCCTGGATTCGTTGCGGTCGGACCGATGGATCAGATCGAGGTCGGTTCGGGGAGGGTACCCGAATGTTCTTAGTGTCTGTTGGATGTTCTTGTGCATCCTGGGGGAGGGTACCCTCGAATGACCGTCTGGTTCGGTGTGTTCTTGCAGGGCGGAGGGTCTCATCTCCTTGCAGGATGCTCTTCTCGGGCGATCGCAAACATGGATCAAGGGGGCGTGGATTAGCGACGCCGTAGCCATTTTGGCTCAAGGCTCAAACCTTCGCCCTGGGGTTTGAACCTTTGGCGCAGCCGACACGGAGGATCGAGGTTCTCTGGGGACGAGGCCCCTCTCCCGTTTTGGCATCGCTCCCTCTTCGGCCACCACACTTGTGCAGTCATGAGTGCTGATGGCGCCCAGTCTTGGTTCGCTGGCTTTGTGAATGACCAGTTCTCGGTTCTCGCGGCCAACGTGGCAGAGTCCAGCAAACAACTGACTAGCCAGGTCACGCAGATCGACGGGAGACTGGCGGCGCTTGAGATCACGGTCCAGTTTTTGCAGTCGAAGCAACAGGAGTCTGAGCGCCACATCGAGTCACTACGCAAGGCTCCACCATCCACGGTATCATCCACTGCTGCTGGCTCGAAACGCCCACGGATCGCAGGTTCACTGGCGTCGGACATGGGTCAACAGGTTGATCCTGGGCGCCTCTGGGTTGCTGGGTACCCCCGTGCGGTTCTTGAACAGACTCGACGCTCAACATGGACCATGCTTGAGGCTCGTTGTCCTCAGCACCTTCTTGCTGGCACGACCACGAAGTTGGCCAAGACCAGTCAGAGTTTCTCCATTCACTTCTCCTCGGCGGACCTCGCGTCCGAGTTCAAGAGCTGGTTTGTGGCTCAAGGGTTCAAGTGGACGGACCCGAGAGATCAAACTGAGCACAACTTGCGCATTCGTACAGTTTTTCCTGACGATGTGCGATCTCGCCAGCGTATCATGTCCAAGCTGTGGGCGCCTGTCGTCAAGCACCTGAAGGACACGAGCAAGCTCGAGGATGGCATGAAGATTGGCGCCAATGGGTTTCGCAACGAGTTCTTCATTCGCACGGGTACCGACCACTTCGTCTTGGCCAAAAGGGGAGCTCGACGGCCTGGGCCGCATGCAGCTCCACCCATTTCGCTCCTGACCTGCAGTTCTGGGGCATATCGGTCGAGGCGATGAAGGCGTGGATCGAGAATTGTCAAACTCATGATTGAAGTTGCTTCCTGCCAGCTACACCGACGACCACTCGCTTGGTGTCTGCTCCATGCGAGACTTCTGTCGTCCTGAACGAGCTTCCGCGTGATGATAGGGGTCTCACGCCGCCTCACCCACAACGGTTTCGAATTCATTCCGACTCTTCGCTTGATTCGTGCAGCAGTGCCGTCCTTTACCTCCAGCTCTGACTCTGGCTCTCGTCTTCCCCTTCTGATGCCACCATGCCTCGTTCTGCTTCGAGGCGTGTACCTCGCCAGCCGTCTGCCTCTCCTGTTTGCCCGGCTGTCGCTCCCTCTCGCTGCTCTGATTTCACGGCCTGCGGGCCACCGCCTGCCTGGCCACCCCGCCATGCAGTGAACCAGCAGCCTGTTCTTCCCTCCTCTCCGCTCAGCGCTGTTACTTGGAACGTGCGTGGCCTGGTTGCGTCTGTGAGGACTCGACGACCGAAGAATGCGGCCAGACGCTACTTCCAGTTCGCACGCCCCTGTCGGAAATATCAGATAGTGCGCGCTCAGGAGACGCATGGCCTGCCGGCAGATATAATTCATCTACAACATGAGTTGCGTGATGCACACATCGGAGGCACTATGTTTCATGATACTGTACATGCTGGTGGTCTGGTCACTTATATCTCTCCTACCCCTACTTGTCATTGCTCCCATATCTCCCATCATGTGATTCAAGAAGGACGTATGTTACTCAGCCTCCTCCTTGGGCCGAAAGGGAACCTGGCTGTCATGAGTGTGCATATGCCGAACACTTGTGAGTCTCTTGGCGTGTATTCGAACTTGCTGAACGACATCATTTCCGCTCTCCCGCCTGCTGCTCAGTGCTTCTCGCTCATTGTGGGAGATTTGAATTTCACGCTTGAGAAGGAGAGGAGGATGTTTCCTGATGGGAGTGGGCGGGCTGCTGGAGGCTCTAGGTTTCGAGAAGTTTTTGATCGAACATTCTGGCAGTGGATGGAATTCCACCAGGCGGGAGATACTCGCCGCGAGCTGCGTGATGGTCACATCGTGCACTCATCACGGCTTGATCGCATCTACTCCTCCCTCCCTGCTGCGCTGGTGGCTAGCCTCACGATTCAGACATCGGTCATTGGCAAGCTCTGTTTCGCCCGCACGTCAGATCACATTCCTGCATTAGCTCAGATTACGCCCTATCAACCGACGTCTCTCGACTCCCTCGCGATCCCCAGTTGGTTGGGTAAGTGTGATTTGTACCAGCAGACGCCTGAGCGGACCCTCGAGGACCGTGCCGACGAACTCAATGCGCTTGAGGTGACAGAAGCCCTCTCTGCTACCAAATCGATCATGCTCGAAATCGTCCCTGTTGTCCGTCGAATGCTGGCCGAACGTATTGCGGTCTGTAAGACAGAACAACATCACTGGTGCATGGTTGCTCTTCGGGGGCTTCGTGCGCAGCAAGACCATCTCATCTGTAGGGCTCTCGCATGACACCCTGTGCGGCAGCAGTTCTTTGACACTGACAGGCCTTAATGCCATGACTTTGAAGGGCTATGTGGCCATGCCCACGAATTATATATGGCCCGTATGACGGAGGAGGAGGAGGAGGTTAACAATGATATGAGTTTGCAGGAGGAGGTGAAGAAGAATGCGCTGCGCAAGATTCGTCACAAGCAGGAGCTGTGGCGCAAGTTCAAGCGCCGCTCCTACTTGCCCGCTGTGCTTGATGAGCGCGGCCGCCCGTGTGCTTCTTTAGAGACCTCTGCGACGTGTCTCGCTCAGTATTGAGGGGGGGTGTTTGACGATGTGCCTGCCGATCGTTCGCGCTGGGGAGAGATCCTCGAGCACGTGCAAGCTGTTCCACAGGCGGCGCCACCTGAGACCCATGGGGCCAACAGCCAGGACGCCAGCAGCCACATAGCCCGGGATGTTCCGTATGATGAGTTTTACCAAACGATTCGTACGTGCCGAAACTCTATGCCTGGGCCCGACGGTATTCCTTATTATTGCTGGCGTGCTGGGAATGCTCCCCGATCTCTTTACAATTTGTATCTCGCTATTGTACGTGGATCGATTGAGGAGTTACCCACTGATATGAGAGAGATGCTACTCGTATTTCTACCGAAAGGGGATGGGAATGGGGACAGGGATGGGAATAGTGTTCGTGACTGCGCCTGCACGCGCCCTCTCTCCATGGCGAACACGGATGTCAAGTTGCTCTCGGGTGTCTGTTGCTCCCCTCTGAACCAGCTCGCGGCCACCTCTGTTGCTCCTCTGCAGAAGTGTGTGAAAGGACGCCAGATGCTCACTAATGTTGTGCAGGCGGAGGGGTGGGGTCTCCAACAAGATCTTCTCGGTCATGACTCACCTGTCATCCTCTCTGCGGACTTTGCTGCCGCCATCCCGCCCATCCTTCATATCTGGCTGCACACTGTCCTTACTGCGATGGGTGTTCCGTCGTTTATACAGTGCTTCTATCGCATGCTCTATACATCTAACATTGGTATGATTACGTTGGGAGGGAGGAGGTTCAACAGTTTTCCGATCAAGCGTGGGGTGAGGCAGGGAGATCCCAGCACGATGACTCCATTCTGTTTGTGCCTGGATCCTGTGCTTCGCTGGCTTCAGTATAATTTCCCGCGCCAGCTGGACCTTGCGCTTGCATATGCAGACGACTGTCTCTTTGGGATGCGTGACTCATTTAGATCGCTGCCTTCGCTGTGGGCGCTTCTTCTGTGCCTCGATAGTGCGATTGGCCTTGCTCTGGATGTTACTAAATGTGGTCTGTTACTTTGTGGGGGGACTGGGATGGAAGGAGTGAAGCAGACGCTATGTGAGTATGGTGGAGGGATGGAGCTTGTCCATGTGTGCACAGATATGAAATATCTTGGGTGTTTTATTGGCCGTTCAGCCTCTGAGAAAGCGTGGATCGCCCCGCTTGCGAAGTTCTGAGCGCGTTGTGCTCAGCTACGCCTGCTCTCTCCTGGGTATGCGATGACGATCGTTACGTTTAAGGTGATGTGCTTCAGTGTGATTCAATTCGTGATGCAAGTCGAGCCTCTTACCCCCGTCGTCATCAAAACTTACAAACACATGTTGCAACGTCTTACTTGTGGTCCGTATCACGCGCTCTCGTACAACATGCTCGTCTCTCTCAGGGAGCTCGGCTTTGTTCTTGGGTCGCCCGACATTCTTTCGCATTCTGACGCATGCCGTGCCCGCTTTGCCACCTTGTGCCCTGGCGTCGACGACTGTCAAGTCGAACCCCAACGGGTGGTGAACTCCAACGCTGCATGCTATGCGCGGGTGGTTGACCCGCAAGGATGGTATCACAATTCTTTTCTTACTAGCCTCTTCCAGACTGTGCAGCAGGTGAGAGAACATGTCAATCTGCAGTCTTTCAAGCCCCATGTTCTTCAGCGCGAACTCTATGATACTCTCCATCGTCGTCCCCTTCCTGGTCTTTTTGCGCGTGGTGGTCTCCTTCTCCGTCTTCGTAACTGGCTTCCCGGATTCCCTCGTGATATCGATGCCCTGATTGCTAACAACAGTCGTATCTCGTCGGCCTCATCCCCTCACCTGGTCACGAGTGTCCTTCGGATGTGTACGCGTGGTGTCTGTAGGAGTGCTCGATCTCATCCTGCTCCCCGTGGTTGCATTTTTGGGTGCTCACCTCGTGAGTATGGTTTCGACATGTCCAGAGATTACGACGATCTTTGTCACTACAAGTTCTGCAGTCGTTTTCGCGAAATATGTATCAGATGGGTTGGTTCTCGATGTCCGATCGCTCCTGTGATGATTCCCTGGATTGCAACTGTCATCCCTCTCTTCCGCCTCCCTGACGATGCTGCTGTGTGCCTGCATGTGCGATTGTTTGGTTTCTACTCACAATTCTGTCCGTCTCGGACTGTCTCCAGACGTGGGCTCCCTGTTTGAAGCCCGTCTTCGGGTGCTCACGCGGCGTTATCCTGCCGTCGCCAGTGTGTGGGAGTTTGTCAGGCACGGCCCTGGTTGGCTTGTCCCTGGCTGAGCGGCACTGGCTTGGCAGGTGCTCTGTTGGAAAGAGACCCCTAGAGACCCCTTGAGGCCCCCCCCCAAAAAAAAGGGGGCGTGGATTAGCGACGGGTCCCGTTTCCATTGGGAATCGCGGATCCCCGCCGCCGAGCGTGGCGGCGCCAGCCGCATTTGGGGGGAGAACACCTCCCCGGATCCATGGATTTGGCGACCGCGCGCCTCATCCGATCCACGGATCGCCAATCCATGTCTGCGCGCCCCCGCTCTTCGGTCCCAGGTCCGACCGTATCCAACGGTTCTTTGTCAGATGCCCACGCCGTATCCGCCGCTTTGGGCCTCGTGGAGCGTTGGGGTGTGGCCGCCTCCCGCCCTCGGGCACAAGAAGCTCCGCATGCTTCGTCAGTCACAGATGGCCGGCGGCGGCAGGGTCGAATAGCCCAGGGGCGGGCATTACCGTACTCGCCCGGGGAGTTTCGCCGAAGGCATGGCCATCGGCGCCCCTGGATACACGTATTGCTCTCCCCAGGGCTATGCGTCCCCCATCGCCGCCCCCGAACAAAGCGACACGCTTTTCAAAGTCGAAGCGCTCGATAGTTCGGACACTTGTCAGACATGCTGTGAGGGCACTGCCCGATTTCGGACAAGCCTGCGTCTGGGCCAAATATCCCATGCCAGCATCGACGTAGCGCCGACAACACAAGCAGCGAAGACAATAATCGTCAGTGTATGTTTGAAGAGTCTTGTAGGACAACGTTAGGGGGGATAGGCTCTGGGGGGGATGCACCGACCCCAATCGCGTTTCGATCGCCGATAAGGGGGCCCGATAGCGTACCCCGCCCAGGAACGCTCGGACTCGCTATCGGGGGCCTACCGCCGATCTATCGGCCATGTATCGCCGATTCCAGGTCGATGCTTCCCCGAACTGGTTCCCCCCCCCCTGTCGTTGCCCCACCTCAGGCGCTGTCCCAGGACTGCCAGCAAGGGGCTGGGATCAGTCCCACTTCAGGCTCGGGAGGAGCTCTGGATTTCGGGCCCTTCCTCACATCCAGGTCGGACACCCCTTCGTGGCCGAGGCTCTGCGTGGCCAGAGCAGCCGCACCGTTCCTGATCCAGCGCCCTCGTGACAGCACGGTCGCTGCAGGTCGCCCGCGGGGGCGCGAAGACAGCCGTGCGCCGCGCAGCGCGGGGCGCGATGCGCGAAGGCTGATGACCCGGGAGGACCTCCGGAGGCGCGTCGGCGCGCCTGCAGCGCGGTGGGCACGGATGGGCCCTCGGGGGCGCGACATCGAGGGAGGAACAGACACCCGGACCGGACAGCTGGCGTTGACTAAACGGCTGGGCGACCAGCCCTGCCCTGTTTGATTCCTTCTTTGAGTGCGCGTCCTAAACGGCTTCACTTGCCGGGGTGGTCATTATCGGGGTGGATGTCCTGCCCTCTACGGCAGGTGTACAGCGTCATGAGCGGCACTCTCGGGGACGGCAAGCAGGCCTCCGTGGCGTACCAGTCGCTGAGCGCGCTCGGGCAGGAGCCGGGAGTGGGGGAGCCCCAGGCCCAGGGAGGAAGCGAGAGGGGGCAGGCCCCCTCAGAGATCGATCGAAGCATCGATTGGTCCAGGGATCGATCGATCGAGGGATCAAGGAGGGGTACTCCGGATCTCATAACAATGGGGGGGGGTCTGCTTCTGGAGGGGTCTCACGGGCTTCGTCAAACACATTTGTGGGGGGGTCTCGATTTTGGACCTTTTGTTGCCTGTCTTGGGGGGGGGTCCCAGACCGGCCGTCAAACACTTTTTTGGCCCCCCACCACTATTATGAGCTTTGGAGTACGTGGATCGATCGAAAGATCATTCGATCGATCTTTCGATCGAGGGATCAGTTGCTCGATCGAATCGATCGAGAGAAAAGCGGGGCTTCTCAGACGCCCTTGCGCCCTCGGGACGCCGCCGCTGGCCTCGCAGGAGGCCCACAAGGCCTCTCGGGAGGCGCGAGGGCTTCCGAGAAGCCCCGCCGCTTTCTGAGAGGGCCTGTCCTCTCCCGCTTCCCCCCCTGGGCTCGCCGTCGAGTAATGGAGGATGACGATTAATAAATGACCGGGGGTCGTGTTCACGCGGCGGTGCCTGGGATGACGATTAGAAGAAACCGGCCGCGGGCTGGAAAACTATTTTGTTTAATCGTTCGCCTTCTGTCAGAAAATTGTGCAGAAATAGCAGAAACTATTTTTTATCGTTCTCCCCCATTTTTTGTATTAATCGTCATCCCGCGTTAGGGGTGGGAGGAGCGACGGGACCGGATGCAGCAGGGCTCGAGCCAAGCGGTGTGTTGGAGATTGCGTGGACCGTTTGCGTTTTGATGTCGTTCCGCGGCAAAGGCAGAACGAAGACGGAACGAAGGAAAACGATAACAGAGCGGAACAAAAAACACTGTTTAGCTCGAGCCCTGGGATGCAGGGGGGGTGGACGAGGGTCGGGTCAGACGAAAGGGTGGGAACAGTGAAATTGGGTGACGAAAGCTGTTGCACGCAGCCGGATTCGGCCCCGAAGCCGGGCATTTTCATCGGTACATCGGCGCCTCTGGCGCCAGGAAAACCAGTCACGCGAGCTGATTCGCTTGCCCCCATTTCGTCCGCCAGAGAGGGGGGACGGGAGGAGGGACGGGAGGGGGAGGGGAGGGAAAGGGGGCGGGAGACGGGAGGGACGGTTCCTTTTCAAAGTGCGGTTCTCGCTTGAGACTTCCCCAGGGTCTTGTGGCCAGAAGTTCTCATGTGTGCAGCGCCCATTGATGGAGGGTGGCTCCCCTTTTAAGCGGGGTTCTCGCTGTGCATGCCCTTGGACTATGTTGTCCTACACCTCTTCGCAGTCCTACTTAGAAAGAGGATTGTCCTTATTTAAAGCGAGATTCTCGCATGAACGGCCAGGCCAGCCCATTGTGCGCATGTCTTTCGAGAAGGCGTTTCCCGCGGACTTGAGACGGGAGAATGTATTGCAGCTTCCGCGCGCGTGGGGGAAGGAAGAGGAGGACCAGAGTAAGCCCAGGCTGCAGCAACGATGCTGCAAAACAAGTCCCTACAAGTACGGGCAAGAACTTTGGCTTAGCGTATCGCGCCGCCGAATTTGGCACACCACCGCGGTTCGGCGCGACTCGCTGACTACGTCCCAGTCCCCGATGGTCAACGCCCCGAGCTTTCTCGAGCCTCCCACCACACGGAGCGGAGCGACACTTAGCGAGTCGCCTGGGCCACCGCAACGCTGAGCAAAGCTCCTGAACGTACACTCTCTACTCTCCCATTCCAAGTCCCCTCCTCTTGAGTCCCTACGTCCTATTAAGTCCTTACGAGTAGTCCCCTAATCGTAGCTCCCCACGAGTAGTCCCCATACGGGCATTCCCCTGCGAGTATGCCGGTCCATTGCGGGAGGCGCCCCCGCTGACAGACGAGCGCCTTGCGGCATGTCAGGCGAGACCCCGCGTTGGGAAGGCTCCACCTTCCATCTTGCTAGCGACGAAGGAATACAAAGAGGCAGGACCATACGAAAAGGGGGAGGGGGCGTCCAGTGGAAGTTCAGGTTTGAACCGCTCCCTCCATACGTGAAAGCGTCGAACATTTTCAGAGTGCTGCGTCCAAGTTCGAATATGTGTCAAGAGGGAGTCCAAATTCAAAAGGAGGCACCATCCATCCGTGTAACTGTTGCAGTTTCCAAGGCTGGGTCATACATGCAGTGAGAGTCTCAAGGGGGAGCCCGATTTTGAAAAGGAGCCCCCCTCCATCCGTGCAGCTGTCGAAAAGGTGTTAAGATGAGTTCGAGCGACACTAATGCGCGAGCCGCATTTTGAAAAAGGCTGGCCCTAATAGTTGAAGCAGTTGTTCGTTTTACGACGAGTGTTCGTGGTGCTCGCTACAGGGAGAGTTGGATATTGGAACCAGCCAGCCCTTCAGCCTGGTAACTGTTAGACGTGTCAGCTTCAGGTAATAAGATGCAGTGTGTCTTAGGCGAAACGCCCTTCCCGGCCCAAGGACGCGTCTGCTGGTGCGAAAAGGGGGGGTTATAAGAGACATGGATGGAGGAGGGCGAAGGGAAGGAGGGAGAAGGAGTGAGGAGGGGGAGTAGAAGGAGGTCGAGAAAGAGGAGAGGGGGGAGGAGGAGGGGGAAGAGGAGGAGGAGGAGGAGAAGGAGGGTCGACAGATATTGATTGATTGAGTTCCCCTGCACGGCAATTGCTCACCACGCGTGCAAAGTAGCAGCTAAAAGCACAATATGTTTCAAAAGTGCTCAGCTCTGAAGCGGACCGCGGCCGTCGAGAAAAACCTTGCCAGGGGCGCCGTGCGGAGAAAACCATGCGGAGGCCGCCTGGCCGCAAAATTCGAGTCAATCCAGGGCGGCACACACAAGTCTTTGCACGGGCCACCACTTGCCCCCAGCCTCAGCGGGGAGGAGACAAGAAGAGGGGTGAGGAACGGAGGAAGGAGGAGGATGAGGCAATCTCTACCCTCCCTCCTGGGAAATCTTTGGGGTCTCCGGAGGTCTCTGGGGTTTTCTGAGGCCCCAGGAGGTCCCCATGCGCCCCCGAAGGTTCCCAGAAGCCTCCAGAAGTATCCCGCGGCTCAGAAATCCCCCTCCCTTTCCTCCTGCCCCTCCTCCTCCTCCTTCTCCTCCTCCTCCTCCTCCTTCTCCTCCTTCTCCTCCTCCTCCTCCTCCTCCTCCTCCTCCTCCTCCTCTCCCTCCTGCCTCGCAGTCACACGTGCACCTGGGGTAGCAATTAGGTGCCCCTGGGGAACACATCGGCGGGGGGGGCGCCAGGACGACCGCTTTTCCACCTGATCCAGGCTTGCAGCAGCTAGGGAAGGCTGGCGACAGGGCCCCCAACACAAATAGTTCAGAAAAACGCGACGGGACGCGGGAGTTCCAAGTGGGGATCGAGCGTTGGCTCCCCTCCTCCTCCTCGTCCTCCTCCTCCTCCTCCGCCTCCTCCTCCTCCTCGTCCTCATCCCCCTCCTCCTTCTCCTTATCCTCCTCCTTATCCCCCTCCTCCTCGCAGAGGGCATCTTTGGGCAGTTGATCAAACCGACGACCTCCGACCGCCCTTCCATTGCACCACCTTGCCTCCTCTGCCTTTACTGTTACACCACTGAGCATGTCCTGATGGTGTCCTCCACCCTCCACGTATTGTTTTTGCACACTTGATGTTCTTTCTTGGGTGATTTCGCTTCCGATCCGAACGTTCTCGGTCCTTCCAAAGTCGTGTCCCCGCTGAAGCGTGGGCCTCATTGTAGGATCGCGGCTCTGATCCCGTCGTTCAGAATTACGCTCTCGCACCAGCTCTGGCCACGTTCTTGGATCCGCGTCCTTCCTCATCGTTGTCGCCCCACTCCTATGCTCTCCTCAGCCGTCCCATGTTCCTCCGGCTCCGCCTGCTGCTGCTGTTCGTCCTCGTCGTCTTCTGCCCGCATTATCTCCTTTTCCTCCTGCTCATCCTCCCGCTCACCCGCCACCCCCTCCTGTGCACTCAGCTCCTCTTCTCCGATTGCGCATATATATATATATATATATATACACACAAGTGGCACGTGTGTACCCAGGTTCATACAAAAAACTGAAAGGGCGTTTGAAGCAGGATAGTTGTTGGGAGTGAAATGCAATATCCAAGTCGCACTCGAGCGCAAGTGGGGTTGCCACACCTTGCGATGTGTGTACCAGGGCCCCCTAGGAAGCCTCAGGAGGCCCGACTTGGATACCGGAAGACGCTCCAGGAGGCCCCAGGATTGTGAGTGTTGTGTGTGTGTGTGTGTGTGATGTGTGATCTGTGTTGTGCGTGTTTTCTGTGCGTTGTAGGTGTTGTGTGAGTTATGTTTGTCTAGCGTATGATGTGTTGGGTGTGAGTTGTGTCTTTGTGTGTGCATGTAGTTCTGAGGCCCTAGGAGGCCCCAGGCGGCCCCAGGAGGCCCCGGGAGACCCCAGGAGGCTCCAGGAGGCCCTAAGAGGCTCCAGGAGGCCGCAGGAGGCCCCAGGAGGCCCCAGGAGGTTCCAGGAGACCCCCAGGAGGCTCCGAGGCGGGGTCTGGGGTACCAGAAGAGAAAGCCCTAGGAGGCCCCAGGAGATTCCAGGAGGCCCCCAGGAGGCTCCGAGGCGGGGTCTGGGGTACCAAAAGATACGTCGGGGCTCGATTTTGGGAGGATGTCTCAAACGAAACCGCCATTATCTGAGAATCGGGGTCACAATCATTAAAATTACAATGTGTTTTTGAAGATGTGATGTTCAAATTTTGACATTCCAATGTGTTTTTGGACCCTGACGTCACGATCTGTGTGAGGGGTGCCACCGATTTTCAAAACTTCGAGGATGTCCCTAGCGAAACGGCCAGAAAAATCGCGAACGACGCGGCGCGTACGCATTAATCGCCTCTGAGCTCTACTCCCTCGGAGAGGTGCGCATGAGAATATATATGTTATATATATATATATATATATGTGTGTGTGTGTGAATTCTGATTCATACATGATCGCGGGCTCAGGGCCCCCCCTCCAGATGGGATGGGTCCCAGCCAGGGTCCTCGCCCCCCCCCCCCCCCAGATGGGATGGGGGGGGGGGAGGAGGAGGAGGGAGGGAGGAGGAGGAGGGAGGAGGAGGGAGGAGGAGGAGAAGGAGGAGGAGGAGGCGGAGGAGGAGGAGGAGGAGGAGGAGACGAGGAGGAGGAGGAGGAGGAGGACGAGGAGGATGGGGAGGACGACGACAATGACGGCGACGACGACGACGACGACGAAGACGCTCCGGCTCGCTGAAGCACCGGAACACATCGCCACACCCAGAAGGAGGCGACGACGGTGAAGACACCGTCGACGACGATATTCCTTTTCCTCCTCCCCCCATCCGCCTCTCCATCCCTGGGACGACGACGACGACAACGACGACGACGACGACGTCGACGACATATATTGTTATAGGGCCGGGGACCCCGGAAAGAGTGCACCCCCCCTGACCCCTCCCCAAAAAACTAATTTCGAATCCTCGGGCGTGTCTTGCGCCTTGGGTTTTCTCAGATTTCCGACTCTCCAGGCCCTCGTGGGCCAGCCTTAAGCTTCTTTTGGGCTCATTTGGAGCCGTCCTGGGGCTATCTCGACGCCTCAAGAGCCGATCGTAAGCGAAAAGGCGAGAAGACCAAAAACATGTTTTTTTTTCCCAATGGTTTTCATTGATTTTCAATTATCTGGGCTTTCTTCGGCCAGCCTTGGGCCTCTTTGGGGCTCGTCTGGGGACTCATTGAGAGCCGTCCTGGGGCTATCTTGACGCCTCAAGAGCCGATCGCAAGCGAAAAGGCCAAAACCAATGATTTCCCAATGGGTTTTCATTGAATTTCAACTCTTTGGGCCTTCTTCGGCCAGCCTTGGGCCTCTGTGGACCTCGGCTTGCGCATCTCTGGAGCCATCCGAGGGCCATCTTGGCGCCTCCCGAGCCGACCGGAAGCGACAAGGCGAGAAGACCGCATACATTGTTTTTCCAATGGTTTTTTTTCATGACGTTCGAACCTCCAGGCCCTCTGGGGCCAATCTGTGCCCCCTTTCGGGCTCGCCTGGGGACTCATTTGGAGCCGTCCTGGGCCTACCTTGATGCCTCAAAAGCCAATCGGAAGCGACAATGCGAGAAGACCAAAAACATTGATTGTCCAATGGATTTTCACGGGCGTTCAATTCTTTGGGCCCTCTTCGGCCAGCATTGGGCCTCTGTGGGCCTCGGCTTACGCCTCTCTGAGGCAATCTTGGGGTCATCTTGACGCCTCTCGAGCCAACCGGAAAGGAAAAGCGATAAGGCCGAGCACATTTTTTTCCAATGGGTTTTCTCAGACTTCCGACTCTCTGGGCCTTGTTGAGCCAGCCTTGGGCTTCTTTGGGGCTCGTCTGGGGACTCATTTGAAGCCGTCCTGGGGCCATCTTGACGCCTCAAGAGCCGATCGTTAGCGAAAAGGCGAGACGACCAAACAAATATATGTCCCAATCAACTTTCATGGAATTTCAATTATTTGGGCCTTCTTGGGCCAGCCTTGGGCCTCTTTGTGGCTCGAAGCCGGCAGCCCAGCAGCGCGCATGCCGAACTTAGCATGTTCTGTAGGATGTGGGGGAAGAGGGGGAGGAGGAGGAGGTAGAGGAGAAGGAGGAGGAGGAGAAGGAGGAGGAGGAGGAGGAGAAGGAGGAGGAATTAGAGAAAGTGGGGGAGAGAGGAGAAAGAGGATGAGGATGAGGAGGAGAAAGAGGAGGAGGAGGAGGAGGAGGAGGAGGAGGAGGAAAAGGGGGAGGAGGAGAAAGAGGAGGAGGAGGATGCCCTGCTTCATGCTAGCCCAACCACTCGCCTGAGACAGAATCGCGCTTCTGGGCCCCGAAACGCCCTGAGATGGCCTCAGCTGGTGTTGTCCAGTCGCTCCTGTTCAGGAACTCCTCACCACTTCCGACTTGGCGGTGGCCCGCCCCATGTCCACGCGCACGCACGCCGCCTGCATTCGAAGCTACAAGGAACAAGGTGCATGGCGCGAAGCGCCAATGCAGTCTTGTATGTGTATATATTTATATGTATAACACGATGGGTTTATGTTGGGGGAGCTCCAGGTGGGCTACAACAAACGTCCGCGGATAAAGAACAAACCAGCGCAATGGGAAGGGATAGGAGGGAGGGGTAGGATGCCAGATGAGGCACGAGCGCACATGGCTTGTCCCCCTCCCCTCTCCCTCCTTCTCCCTGCCTCCCCTTGGCCCAGGAGCACCCGAGTGGGTCTCCACCCTTGTTTCGCAGGGGGATCCCCCAGGCATTGGGGCGAAGGTCCTGGGTCCCGCCTCAGCCAACCGCCTTGGCCAGGTCTCCTGAAGGCCCGATGGCGCTCCTGGCCCTTCCCTCCCACCCTTGGTCCCTCCCTCCACCTTCCCTCCCCTTGCTCCCTCCCTCACCCTCCCCTCCCCCTTCCCTCCCCTTGCTCCCCCTTGCTCCCCCTTCCCTCCCCCTTCCCTCCCCCTCCCTTGCTCTCTCCCTCTCCCGTGCTCCTCCCTCCCTCCCTCCCTTTGGCTGGGGACCCCGTGTCCGGTCAGCCAAGACAGCCCCAGCGCTGGAGGGCGACCAAGCAGCGGCCTAGACATCGGCAGCGTCTCAGCGTGGCACTCTCCTCGCTGCCTTTGCGTTCTGACTGCAGAATTTCAGTTCGGGCATCGCCGCGCCCTCCTCCTCCTTCTCCTCCTCCTCCTCCTCCTCCTCCTCCTCCTCCTCCTCCTCTGTCCCCCCGTCCCTCGAGGGTGGGCACGTGGGGCGGGGCCCAGGAGCTCGGGGTCGCGTCGCCGTCCCAGCTGATCCTGGGGTGGCTGGTGCAGCAGGGCGTGTCTGTGGTGCCGCGGTCCTCGGGGCCTGCTGCTTCTGTTGCTCGCCGCCGTCGAGGTCGTCGTTGTCGTCGTTATCGTCATCGTCGTCTTCGTCTTTGTCGACGTTGGCGTCGGCGTCGGCAGCGGCGTCGGCGTCGGCGTCGTCGTCGTCGTCGCCATCGTCGTCGTCGTCGTTGTCGTCGTCGTCGTTGTCGTCGTCGTCCGCGTCGTCGTCGTCCACGTCGTCGTCGTCCACGTCGTCGTCGTCGTCGTCAACGTCGTCGTCGCAGAGGGGGGTGGGGGGATGAGGGAGGAGGAGGAGACTGAGGAGAAGGAGGGGGAGGAGGAAGGCGACGATGAGGCCTCCCTCGGGCGTTTCGCCTGAGACTTCCTCACCACTTTCCCCAAACAGCATTTGCACTGGGGTCTTATTCCTTTTCTACGGAACTGGGCTGGCGTGGCGGTCTGAAGGAACTGGGCTGGCGTGGCGGTCTGACGGCTATGTTGTCGCTTTCGTCGCCCCGTTGCTGCCTCGTCGCCGCCCGTCGTCTGGGCCGGTGTGGCGATCTGGCGGCTATGTTGTCGCCGTCGCCGCCCCGTCGCCGCCCGTCGCATAGATTGTACCACATGAATTCTCCTTGCGGAAACCATATCAGGATCTACGCCCAGATTTAACTGTTCATTCTTTCGGATTGCGTTTTGCACATGGTTTTGCCCCATCGTCCATCTTAAGTATGAGTTCGTTTCATCCAGCCAGGCACGTGACGCACCCCCCGATCCTCGGCAAATAATGCTCGCAGTTGTTGATCAAAGAATATAGGTGATCGAGAATCCGCGGCAATAGCTGGACGAAGTGCACGCGCGCGCGCGCGTCGTCGCGCGCGCATGCCGAAATCCTTCAAAAAACTCAGGTTCAGTAGGGATTAAAAAATCGAGTGTCCCGAGAGCATGTAAAACAAACATGGCCTCGCAACACGGATTCTCCAACCAAACATTGCGCTCGCGCTCTTGCGAGCTCTCAAGCACACCACACTCGTTCGAACGCGCTTGCTCTCGCGCTGTCGCAAGAAACCCTTTCAACAACTGAGACGCAGTGCACACGCGCGTCGTCGCGCGCGCATGCCGAAATCCTTCAAAAACCTTCGGTTCCGCAGCGATGTCAAAATCGAGTGCGCCGAAACATATAAACCACATGCCTTCGCAACATCAGTTCTCACACAAAGAAGCTGCGATCGGTCTCTTACGAACTTTTAAAGAATCCATCGGTTTTCATTCTCTCATTCCTAAATTCGGGCAGCGCGCCTTCCGCGCCGCATGCCGACATCATTCGATCGCCTTCGCGCGCGTGCTGAGGGGCACGAACCGTGTCAAATAATACAAGCCCTGTCGCTCTCGTCCGTCGGCCGCGCGCGCATGTTGAATTCTTCCAAAACCTGCATCACCGACGCGGGGACGCTGTCATCGTCGTCGGCGTGATCACTGGCCGTGCCGTCGCCGTTGTCATCATCGCCACCAGCGTCGCTACTATCAACACTGTGTCTGCCGTTGGCGACGTTGCCACGCTGCCGCGCCAGCCCAAATCGCCGACTCGCAACTAAAGTGCCCGCTGGGATGTGCCCAGAGGTCAGTGCCACCGCGGCCGCGTTGGTCGCGCCAAACTAGCTGGCCGCTGCGCGCGAGCATGCGCGGACTAGCGCTGCTGCAGGCATGCACCAGCCAACACCAAGCATTCATCGCAATCGCCGCCGAATGCGTTTTGCAAAACACGTTGCGGGCGGGAGGGTGGGATGATTGCGCGAGCAATGGAGTTGACAATTGCGAGTTCCACAAGGGAATTGCACAGCATAGACTGCGCCGCACAAGCCGCGCCACGTGGAAGGCAACACATAGAATGCACACTTTAATTTGCACCACGTAACTTGCAGCCCATATGCTACACCGCAGATGTGCTCCTCATACATAAATATACCTTTTCTATGTATACACATATATATATAATATGCCTTTTTCTATATTTCTATGATGTGGGACCCTGCGACCACCCCCCCTAGGCGGGCCCCCTCCGGATCCTTGGCAGCTGGGTTACCCTGGACGCCCTTGCAGACGGTCCCCTGTGCTTTCCGGGGTTCCTGAAGCCCCTGCTGGGCATTGGCAACAAGCCCAAATCGGTCAGGAAGGCGGCCGGACGGCCCCCGCGAGAGCCCATAGAGGCCCCAACCACCCACCAATGCCCAAGAGCGCCACATAAAAAACCCAAGAGGCATTCGAAACGCAAATGATTCTGATTCTGGGAATGCTCAATTCTTCGGTCTTCTGGGCGTCCCAGACTGCCCAGGAGGCGAGATCATCGCCCCAAATTTATCCAAGAGGGCTTCAGGCAGTCCAAGAAGAGCGCCAAGACGGCACAACGGGGCCCCAAGATGACCCGAAGAGAGCTACATGACGGCCCAAGATGGCCCCAAGACGCCTCCCGAATCAGTCAATCGTGACCTGGTCGTTCAGGGAGACCGCGGTTGGAAGCAGGGTGGCCCGGGGAAGCCCCCACTGGCCCCCAGAAGGAACACGGGAGGTTTCCAGAATGCCCCAACAATCCCTTAAAACATTCGCGAGACTTAGAAGAGGATCTCATGGGATGAGCCCCCACACAAAGAGCTGAGGGTGGTGGCGAATTCGCAGCGTAGGGCGAGAATGAGGGAGAGGAAGGGGAAACGTGAGGGAAGGATAACGAATAACATTACTTCAACGACAAAGCCAGAAAAGACAAGAAAGAGTTGTCGCTGAATGTTCCGTTTTACTTCATTGCCTTCTTGCTTGCATGCCAAGTCTGAAGGACCAAAGTGCATGGCGCGAAGCGACAATGCAGTATTGTGTATATATATATATATAATCTGACCGTCGCCGTACGAATCCAGGGGGCCCAAGAGGCTTCCAGGGTGCTTGTCGGACGCAGTTTCGAGCCCTCGCGGGAGGTTTTGGCATCTTTTGGAGTTTCTTTTGGGCCTCGGGCGGAGCTGGGGCCTGTTGGGGGCCCCTGTGGGGGTCCTTGGTGCCTCTCGGGGGCAGTTTTCGGGCCCCCTTGGGCTGGCTTGAGCGCCTCTTGGGCACACCCGAGCCCCCGGAGGGCGCCCAGTCCAGGCACCCGCACTTCCAGCTGCCGGAGGAAGGGCCCCCGGAGCCCAAGCCGGCAACCCCGGCCGAGGAGCAGGGACCCCAGGAGGCGGAGCCGGCGGCGCCGGCCGAGGAGCAGGCCCCGCCGCAGGCTCCGGAGGAACCCGCCTCCGACGTGGTGGAGGAGCTCCAGCTCCAGATCGCCCTGGAGGCTTCGAAGGAGAAGGCCGCGAGGGAAGCAGAAGAGTCACCCGACGGCCCGGCCGGTGACGCGGACGGGGAGCGCCTCGGGCGCAGCGTGCCGGGGGGAGGAAGCCCTCCGGCCCCGGGCGGAGGAAGGCGCTTCCAGCCGCGCCAGAGCCTCTGGTCGGACGAGGAGGATGGCACCTTCGAGACCCGGGAGCTATTCTGGTCGGACGCGTGGCGGCAAGCCCCGAGGGGTGGCGGTTTCCGCCACGTCCTGCAGGTCCTGGTGGAGATCCTCGTCGACGAGCAGAGGGAGGGGGCCTCCTCCTCCCCCGGTGGAGAGCGCCTGTTCCACCTGGAGGACTTCAGCCGCATGGCCCAGGCGGGACTGGGCCCGACCAACGGGCGGATCGCGGCGGAGTACCTGAAGGACACGTTCGGAGTAGGTGTTCAGACCAACACCAACCCGTCCACCGGGAGGGAGTACAGGATCCCCGAGGTCATGGAGAAGTTGCAGGAGACGAGGGAGGCAGCCATGCGGAGGAGCCTGGAAGTGACCCGGCCGGAGGCAGAAGCCCCGAGACCAGCCCAGGGCGGGATGCCCCGCCCCCCCCGCGAGGCTGGGGAGACCGCCGCACGGGACAAGGGGGGGGGCCCTACCAGCCGTGCACGGGAGGCGACCCCGGAGCCCCCGGCGGAGGCGATACTGCAGCTGGAGGAGACGGACTGAGCCGGACCCGGCCTTGTGCGGGCGTCCGGGAGGCGGGTGGCCCTCTCCTTTAATTCACCACGGACCCTCCTCCCTCTGGAGGGGCGGCTCCGCGTTTTTGGGCCCCCCTGCACGCGCGCCAGCCGCCGAGTCATGAACGTGTTAAGCGGCTGTGCAGGATGCGGGCAGGGCGGCCCCCGCGCGGCCCCGGTCACTCTCCCCTCCCCGCCCCTCGCGGCGCACTGCGCGGACATGCCCCGGTGCGCCTGGAGTGGAGCTCCCCCTAGGGGGAGCTCGGCGGTGGAGCTGGCCCGCGGTCATTTGTTTAATCGACTCGTGGGGCCCCGCCCCCTGCCTGTGAGCAGTTTGCCCACCGGAGGGTCGGCGGTGGCGCCCCTGCTTCCCCGCGCGCGTTTTCCCGCGCGCCCTGGCGCGCGGCGCCTGGTTGGACTTTGCCCTGCTCTGCCTAGCAGGGCCGTTCCCGGGGCGTGCCGGGGTCTACAGTTTCAGGGCACCACCTTGGGCGGACCACTAGGGCCCACCCGTCGTTTAGGGAGGATGGAGCTGGGCCCGTCCCAGTTTCAAGGAGGGTCGGAGGCGCCGCGGTGCGGGGCCCCGGGTCAGCGTGGGCGAAGAGCCTGCGGCTGCGCTCGCGGTCGTCGCCAAAACGGCGCGTCTCCCTTCCTTCCCTCCCTCTGCTAATCAACGCGAGTGAGGGTGAATAGTGTTTTGTTTAGGCTTGCTTAAACAGGGGTATTCACCCACGGCAGTGCAACGGCTGCTCCCCTGTCTTCCTCCTCTTCCTTCCCTCCCGCAGCTGTTTCAGCTAGCTTGTGCCTTTTCCACCGCCCACCCCTCAACTTTAACTGTTCCCGCCCATCGAGGAACGGGCGGGCGGAGAGCCTGCGGCCGTGCTCGCGGTCGTCGCCAAAACGGTGCGTCTCCCTTCCTTCCCTCCCTCTGCTAATCAACGCGAGTGGGGGTGAACA